GACAGGGAGCCTTCTTTAGTCATATCAGTCTATCCCTGTTGTTTTGTGATATCTTTTCTGAGATCCAGGAACCTTGGCTGGTGTTGGACCTTTTCCTCTTCCATAAAAGAGAGGCAGATTTTGGCTTTGTGGAGGCTATTTTAGTCAGCCATATAAATGGATTGGTCTATGATGAGCTGTACTCTTCATTCCCCTTTGGTTCTGTTTCTTTGTTCCTGCCTGGATACATGTCTCTGGACTATTAATCAGTTGGATGGATAAGAGTGAGGGTATGCCATTGAGTGACTTTGTTTGTTCTTCCCATTGGTTTAGTGTGGCTCTTTTGGGGACTTTCACACTTACCTTCTAGGGGTCTCCTTCTTAATTGGCTATAGGAGCCCACTTATGTAGAAATATGGGAGATTCCTGAGCAGGTCTGATGGAAATCTTCTCATTTCTAAAAGGATGGGGGATGTGCATTAGGGGGCATTACTTTTGCAATTGTTTAAATTAAACCCATGAACCTGAGTTGGAAGGACTGAGTAAGGTAGGCATCATTAAGTAGGCATTGCCCCATGCCCCAACTTGCTTTGAATTTGTGAATTAGCAGATTCTAAGCCCTGTGAGAAGAATTTGCTCTGGACTGAGGATTGATTGCCAGCTGGCCCTGCCCTGAGCATGAAAGAAATTTCCACAAGATACTTCATTCAGGTTTAAAGCAGAGAGCTGGAGACCACCTGTCCCCTGGATCTTCATGGTTCTACAATTTCATCATTCCTAGAAGAAGTTAGGAAGATGCATCAAAGGACCAAGAGGCACCAGGGAGAGAGTACGTGTTTTGCCATAAAGGCAGTGAAATTCCAGCCTTTTAGTGGTTAATTGCTCACTAATGCAATTCTTCACATAGCCCTTCTCCTGTTAGATGCTAAACATTCTGTCTCTTATTTGTCCTTGCTCATAAAAATTAAGTAATGTGCAAAAAGTGCCTAATGACCAGCTGCCATCTCATCAAAACATTATAAATAGAAAATGTTTCCAGCAGTTCAGCTTCCCTAGCTGCTGTTTACTTACTTTTTCTTCTCTTTTATTGCCAGCTTTTGTTGCATAGGGAGATGAAGTGCATTGTTTGGGGGGTTCCCCCTGAAATCCATGTGCTTTGTTTATTTTGTCCTGCTCTTTTATATGAGATCAAAATTGTTGGCCTCACTATAATTTGTGTTGTTGCTGAGACAGGAATGGAATATCAGGTGGGGAGTGAACTATAGTCAACTCCTTAAGAAAAGTTGCTCCTTTCTACATGAATGAATATGGGTAAAACTTTCAGAAGCATCTAAATAACAGGCTTCTATGTCCCCTTGAAAGTCTGCTTTTAAGTGCAGTTAAAAGTGAAATTTCTCTGTCACAACAGCACACACACTTAGACTCAATATCAAGCTCAAAGTCCAGATTCTGCACTTGATAGTGTAGCAGGTGATCCATATAGTTGGACAGAGCCACGCTGAAGTCAGTGGGGCTCCAAATGAGTGCTGTAATTTATTCATTTATTGTCAGTTGCAAAATAGGGGTCTACATTTTTTTTTTTTCTTATTTGCAAGTCAATCTACTAACTGGCTTCAGCTAGGATTCTGAAATTAGGGCTGGTTTGAATAAACCTAAGCTAGGAATTGTTAATCATGCATTTGCATTTCAAATACCTGGTTTAATTAAGCTTGTTTTTTAAATTCTTGACTGTTCCATGCAATGGGTTTCCCTGTGAAGGGATGTTGGCTTAAGGTACTCTTATTAAGGGAAAGCCATAACCATATGCAAACCAGGTGGTTTATGAATGAACAACATTGTTAATTATTTTTCTGGGTCTTTTTTTAATCATCTAATGATGCAGCACTAAATTGATCAAGCACAGAGCATGACCAGTCAAAGTAAGTGACATACAAACAAGATTTAGGTTGAAAATTGTTGGCCCAGACAATTTGATGATTACTTACAAATAACAAACCTATTAGTATAAATTAGGAGCTGTTCAGGGACAGAAGAAAGGCTTTGATTTGTCAGATCATTTATTTGCAGTTAATTCAACCAGCCTGATTGAAAAATCCAGCTAGGGTGTTTCTGCTTCTTTATATCACCAGTTGTTTTAAAGATGCTGCAGTTTTAACCAAGATGACAGTTTAAGGCAATAGGCAGCATGAAGCAGAATAGAACCCAACTGGATTATTTTTGGCTTTGCCATCTTTGTGCGGCTAATAAGAGTGGAGCTTCCTTGTCCCAATAAAGCTGGCAGCTTTGACTTCCGAAGCTATTTTGGGAGCAGATATGTGGATTAAGAAAGTACTGTACTTTTGTATAGGAGTGCAGCTCTGGCTAAAATAACAACTTGACTATTTCTGTTGACTAAGATCAGTTCAGCCCTAATACCTATATAAGGGTGTTTCAGAAAGTAACAGTAATTTCAAAATAAAACCATCCTGTGTGTGGCGATCATTTCCTGGACCACAATGGTTTTCTACATAATTGTAAATGATGGGTGCATTGGACAATGCCACCATCAGTGCTCCCTCCTACTCTGTAGCTTCTTACTTATTGCAGATAAAATGGTTTTATTTTGAAATTGCTGTTACTTTCTGAAACGTCCTGGTGTATACATACAACAGATAATGTAGCATCTGCAAAGACAGTAATAAACAGTAATAAAAACCTGGAACGTGGATTATGCAATGTGATAAAGGTGCATATTGGATAGTTTCAAACTTATTGCTATGCCTTTCAAAAACTTTTGTCTTCTACTTCCAACATAGAAATTCATAGCTTGTGTGCAGTCTTTAATGGATACCATTAAAAACAACATTCATGGCCACAGATATATCTCAACTGTAGTAATATCCCTAGGCTTCCATTGGAACAGGTGAATCTATGGGATTGCAGTTGCTATAGAGTGGCATGCATGCAGTTTCTAATGGAACCTGTTATAGTGACACATGCAGAACCCCTTTTCTGACCAGCCAAATGCATCATTTCACAATACATACTATAGAACATATTGTGTGCCCCCCATCCCCCCAAATGATGGGAATCTAGCATAACTCCACTGAATGCCCATAGATTTACACTGGTTTAAGACAGAGCACATTTTGGGCCCTTTGCTTGTAACCTGGCTGCCTGCATTGCTTTTATACTGTAGGCTTGACTGTCACTCAGGAATGATACAGCCACAAGTTGGGACTTGATGAGATACAGGGAAGTGACCCTGATTAAAGACAAATCATTTGCATACTGATAACCAAACATTTCCTTTCTTGAGAATCATTCCCTGGTTTTAAACCATGGAAAAAGATTACCCTTTTCATTCCACAGCCCTGATTTTTCTTTCATTTGAGGTGGCAGTAGGTACTTGATTCTGAAAGGGAATAAGCTCCCTTTTTACACTAGCACGAATTCCAAGGTAGTAAATTATTTGCATCTTTGAGAAGGTGGCAGCAGCAAAGGCAACACAGCTTAATCTCCACCCATGGGATTTTCTTGCTTTAATATATTGAGTCCTAAACCAGGGACTGTGTTAAGGAGACTCTGTACTCCATCTTAGCTAGCTATTGGGAAATGCTAGATTGGCTGAAGTTGCAAATGAAGACTGCCTACATCCTGAAGATCTTGCATGCTTCTTGGATAGGTTTTATCCCTTTCCTGCAGAACATCAGCTTTCTTTATATCTCCTCATGCAATGTGTCCTACTTGTGGGGATGCAGGTATTGGGGATGCCTTTCCTGGCACTCTGTATCAAGACACTTATGGGTGAGTCTAGCTGGAGCACATCATCGTTCCCATGAAGTTCTCCAAAAGATCCTATATGCTGTTATATTCTCAGTTAATTTTTTTAGGCCAGCCTCCCGGTTTAGTGTTCACTGCTTCATTTATATTGAGTTTCTGAAAACAATGGATATATCTTGCTGGGACTTAATACAAATGCACAAATGATCTGTCTATCTACACCCAGCTTTGCTGATGCACAAAGGGTCTTGTCAAGAAGCAACTTCTGCTGGGTTGTCCCTAACTCCATTCTGGACTTCCCTTTCTTTTCCCACAGTTCATCAATGTCCCAAATTCCAATTTGCTTCATCCTTTTCTATTTTACTCCTGGGTTTCTCTCTACAACTCTATCAAATAACGTCAAGATTAACCTGCAAATAGCAAATACAGTTAACTTAGCACAAACTGCTCTTTAATTCTTTACTCAGCAATTGACAGGAACAAGATTTTAGATTGAAAAGCAATTAACATTTCAGCAGGTTGACTGCCAGATACAATAAGTGGGGAGAAACTGAACGCTTAGGGGTGGGTGTTTGCCTTGTCTTCCCTCCAGGAGCATTGTTTGTAAGGAGAGTTGTGCTTATTCTTTCTTTATGGGGATCCTCCCCGGATGGAAAGTGCTGATTCAGGGGAATAAAAATGCTGGGGGTATCTGTAGCCAGGCTAACTGCCTTAAGTTTCTCTAGTAATTGGTGAGTGCTTTGTCTTGGTTGGAGACCTGTGAACTGAAACCAGCCTGGTGTATGATACCTTATAAGCATTGGGAAACCCAGTTGAACCAGTCTGAAAGAAACTCTAATATCCAGTGGAATTATGTGACTGTTCTAAATTGAAGTGCTTACAGAATTCCAGCTTGATGCTGGTTTCACACCATAGCTATTCACAATATCAATATGTCTCTTTCAGTGTGATACACTACAATGTTAGATCAACAATGGCGAGTTCCAGGGATGCAGGAAAGATGTGTAACCCTGCATCCACCTTTTGATAATGTGCCCTCTGGGCCCCAAAGGAAAAATACTTCTTGCAGTGAGTGGGTAATGAAGTCCATTCTGTTTGGGCAAGAAAGGGATAGAAGTGGGGAGTAGCAGTCCCTCCCTCACGGCAGATAAACAAGGGACTGTATCACACCAGGATGATTTTGTGGACTCTCCCAATCAGGCAGGCACTTCAATATAGTAAGGTCTGTCTTTAACTCTTGTACTTGTCACCATCCCCAGGCAAAGGACCTGAAACTCTCTATGCTGGGCAAAAACTCAATGACAATGAGTGGCACACGGTCCGGGTGGTGCGACGAGGAAAGAGCCTCAAGTTGATGGTGGATGATGATGTTGCTGAGGGTAAGTCCAGTTTACTGATAACTCGGGTCTCGTCTCCTTTTGCTTTCAGGCTCTTTTCAGCACAGGCACACATGCATACACATCATCTTTTTGTCTCTTTTGTCCATCCTTCTGCCTCTCCTCTGTCCTTTCCTCTTGATTCAGTCTCACTGTGCTCTGTGCAGTGCTGTGGGGCTCTTTACTCCTCAACTAGTGGTGGCAATTTCCGTGATAATTCCAGCAGCCTGGAACAGATTGTGGGGATGAAGTTGTTGCAGAGGGGTGTAAGTGTGTGTCTCTGCTTTTAATTCCTCACAGCCACACAACCATGTTGTATGATGGTGTGCATGAAAAGAACAGTGTTGGCAACACAAACACTCAAAAGCATTTTTTGGTCTTAAAGCCATAAGGTTTGGGGTTCTCTCAATAGCATCCCAGAAGCAGCTGTTTAAAAGTCAGCAACACTCAGCCTTTCATTCACCAAAATGCAGTTGCTCAGCCATGGCCCAGATTGATCTGTGCCAGTTCCATGGTACCTCGGAGGAGCTTCTGGGGAGAGGCAGAGGGTAAGTACGTGGTATTTTGGATCCTGGTTGTAGAACCAGGAGGATATAGGTTGGCTCTGTCTTCAACCAGGTCTTGCTCCAGTACCAGTCTGGCAGAAGAACATCAGCAGAAAGCCAAAAGACAGGTAATAGGATATGAAATGATCTCTAACAGGTGGGCTCAGTGGGTGGTTTCCAAACTATTTGATCATTTGTCGACTTACACTCTAAATCACTGAAGTTAAATATGCATCCTATGTTACGAGGAGAAACAGAGATGAAAATTTCTGGACACATGAGAGGAGGATCCATCTGCTCCTTACTAGAATTGGTGGAGGTTCAATCAGTCCTCCAATGTACAAGAGCATTTTTGTACTTTCTGGTTTCCAGCCTACAGATGAATTAATGATGCTAAACTGCACTGGCAAACACCACAAATCTTGTACTGAGGTTTTCAATAATGGCCACTAGGTGGAACTCTTACCTTTACCAAGTGGGGTGCACAAAGAAAACAGTATTGAACCTGAGCTTATGTGTAACAAATGCGGACACTGCCCATTGCAATCCCCATAGTCTATCCCCAAATCTCTTAAAAGTGCAGTGATTGTCAAATCAAGCACTCAAAAGTTATAAAAAGCCCAGAATTTCAAATGATCTGTGCAACCTAAATTCAGCCTCTTTTTCATATCCAGGAGTGTATCCAAAGGAAGTGCAGTGGTGTGGTTGCAGTTCCCTCCCCCCCACCCCCCACTTGTTTTCTGGACTTGACCATACTGCAGGAGCCTCTGGGGACTTTGTCCCCAAAACAGGTGACTTCCCCTCCCCACACCTTTCCATTCATGCTCAGTGGCATGTGCTCTCTCCTTTCCCCTTCCCTCTCTTCCAGCTGTGCCTGCTGCTTTCCCCACTGTCCCAGGGGTGAGGGAAGCACCAGAGCTATTCCTGCTGGAAGAGATGGGTAGGGAGACCAGGCAAGGAGTGGGATACTACTCTTTCACTATGCTGCTGTTGTTCCTGGCATAGCCTGTCTCATCCCAGAGCTTCCTGGCCCCCAGGGCAGCAAGGAAATCGGCAGTAGTAGGCAGGGGCTGGGTAAAGAGGAGGGGAAGGGACAAGCCTTTGAGTATGAAGGGGAAGGAAGGGGGGCTTTTCACCTGCTTTACTGACTAAAAAAATCCCCTGAGGCATGGTTTGCCTGCACCACTGGGAGGGGGTGGAGGAGGCTGTGAGCTGGGGGTGCAGCCACCCCTGAAGTGGAGGTAGCTGCTGCTGTGACCCCCCCTTTGGGAATTCGTGGATCTGCCACTGCCCATATCCATCTTGATCCAGTTTTTAATTTCTTTTTGCAGACAACATTGTGTCCACAGCATCTCTGCCTCCTTCAGTACGCAAGATGGAGGGCAGTTACTGAAGCAGACATCTATTCAATATCTGGAATCATCCCCCTCTCCCCATGTCTTATTCACTGGATACCATACAGCCTTGCTCTAAAAATGAAATCATTAATTTCCTTATGGGGCTTCCCGGTGCTACAGAATGGTTTATCCCCAGGCCATGAGGGATGTTTTCTGTAAGAGAAAAAAAAGAAGGGTGTGTGATCCTGAAATTGGAAAGCATATCATTCTGCAAAAACACAGTGGCTGGCTTATGGTTGTAAAGGTATCGCTTCACTTTGGAGTGCTTGACTTGCAGCATTATCACCCTTTTAACATAATGTCTTAAGTTTCTCTGGCTCTTTAGCCCATTCTCCTCAGCTCAGCAAGACCCCACAATCGGTTTTGGTTATCCTGTTCCTCAGCTTTCTCCCAGTCTCCCCCCTTCACTACCTGGGTTTCTTGCCCAAAGCCTCCTTTGTCCATTGCTTCCCCAGACGTGTTCCCTGCCTTCGACATTATAGTCATACAGGTTCCTCCCATTGCTCTAGTCCAGCAGGGTGAACATGGAGGGCACTGATATACGTGCAGCTCCCCACTCTAACTCATGGCACTTCACAGAAAGAACGACCCCCCGGGTCCAAGCCAACACCCTCACCCCCAATCCAACAGATGTTTTCTGTTGGGTTGGGGGGGGCAGGAAATTGAGCTCTACTTCAGAGTCGATCCAAAGTAGGAGCCTGCCTGCATCCTCTAGCCCAGAGAGTGGGGAGAAGGGAGAGGGTGAGAGCTGTGGGCCGGGTCTTGCCCAGCTTGAGCCAGACAGAGACAACACATGAGGTAATGGGGGAGGGGGCTCCAATTCACCCGCCCCTTTTTCCCCCTTCAGCTCAGGCTAGAAAAATCCCAACCCAGAGCTGCCTCCCCCTCCCTTTTCCCCGCTCCCTTCCTGCAGACAGCATCAGCCCAGCTCCAATCATGCACAAGGACTGACGGAAGTTATCTAAGGCATACCTAATTCCACTTTGGAACACCTTCATCTGAATCCTCATTAGATGCGGGTTAATTTGTCATGGAATCGGCCACTTTTAAAGTGCTTTGCAGCCATACACATCACAGCACTGTTGTAGATCACTTTCCAATCATGCAACACATGTCACTTCTGTCAGATCCCAGAGAAAATAGGAAAGACTATCTCCTTTCACTCGGTGCTTGACCTCTTTCATTTATTTACCTGTAGTGTGAATTTAGTTAAAAGTTTCAAAATGAGAATTTATAGCAAGCCCAAACTGGAACTTTTACTTTTGAAAATGTTTAAATGGAACGTTTTGACAGTTTTGAAATTTTTTCAGATTTTCTTTTTAATCAAGATATTTGTTAATATTAACCCTTTCCCCAACAAACAGTTCCAGTTTCAATGGATTTGCATTTTTCTAAAGGAGAAATGTTTCACTAGAAAACTCCCAGCCAGCTCTGATAACTATTCACCTACTAAATCTCCAACCCCTGGATCATTTTTGTGGTCTTTAAATCTTCTCTTGACATATGAACACAAGAACTGATCAGACATGTACTAGAATAGTGTCCCCAGTGTTGTGTTGAGAAGTGATACCACTTCCCTACTCCTACTTGATATTTTTCTTGTTTAAACATCCAAGACTCATATTAATCCTTTTTGCTACACCACTGCAATGAGAGTTCACACTGAGACAGTTATCCATACTGATACCAGAAACCTTTTCTGTGTCATCACTTCCATTTTCATTTCTCACTCCAAAATACCTTACATTTGACTATGCTAAAAGCACATCTTATTGGACTGTAGACCTTTTAAGGAAATAATTAAGATAATTCTCTACCAGGAACCTGTCTGTTATCTGCAAACCTGACTGACAACGATTGTACATCATCTTCTGTAATCATAAAACTAGTATTGGACCAGGATCGGATCATTAGAGAGCTCCACTAGAAATGGCCCCCACTCCTTATTAAGTACACCTGATATGTGTCAGCGAGCCAGTTAGTAATCCATCTAATGCATTGGTCAGCAGGATTTTCCAGGTGGGCTGGACTAGCCTGGATTGAGTCCAAGGCAGGCCAGTGTCTTCTACCTTGGCCACTGCTGTCACAACTTCTCCCTGTTGCTTGGCTGCAGCATGGATGAAGCTTGTATCACCCCCACCACTGCCACCCAGGGTGGGGAGGGGGATGAGGCAGGCAAAGCCTCCCAATAAGGTAGACCAGTTCATCTCAGCCTGTAGCTCTGAACCAATGGCTCCTCAGGCCCAGATCCATCTCAAGGGCCATACGTTGCTGACGCTTGATCTACGATGTCTTTTGTTAGCTCTGTAAATGGAAGATTTCTAATCTAAATGTCATATGGTGCTAAGGCACATACCTTAGAGAAATCCAGATGTATTATCAATACAGTTGCCTTTATATTTGTAATCCTGTCAAAAACAGGAACCCTATCAAAAAAGCCCTCACAGGTTTGTTTGACAAGACTTACCTTCCTTGAAACCATGCTGACTAGAATTCATTATATTATACCCAAATTCGTTGTTGATAGAGTCCCAAGTTAACCTTTCAGTTTCCTGGAATTAGTCTTAAGATAACTGGTCTGCACTTCCCTGTGTCATTTCTTTTACCCTTTTTAAAAATTAAAGCCAAAGTTGCAGTTCTTTAACCCTTTTGGGATTTTTTTCCAGTTTTTCTAAGAAACAACACTAGCAGTTCAGAGAGCCTTCTTACCTAGCAACCTTAACCCAAGATTCTGAGGTGCATTATATCTGGGCTTGTTGATTTGAACATAACATCTGCCCTGAGTGGGCTCATGCCTCTTGTAGCCCCTAGTGCCAATTGGACTGTTCATAAGCACCATCTTCTCAGAACTACTGCACAAAACAGTACTGGGAATGCACCATCTCAGTAGAGCTATTGAGCATGCTTTTGCTTAAGTTCAGTTTGTGCCATAACTCTGATGGCTACTCCTGTTTGCACCAGGTCAATGTGAGACTGGATGCTGGAACTGAGACCAGGGTGCCTTTCTCTCCTGTAATCATATGACCTCTAGGTAGCAGCTAAGCAGAAATCTGCCTGTTTCTAATAAAAAGGGGATAAAAGCCATGGTTGTAGGTAGAGAAACAGGTTAGGATAAGGGGATTGAGACATAATGGGCAAGGGGACTGAAAGCAAGGAGACTATGGTTTGGAGAGAGGGGAATATATCTCAGATCTGATGATGAATTGGGGAATGAGGAAGAATGGAGACATGTATGAAGAACCTGGGTAAAGCACCCAAGAAGGGACTAGGAGGTAAAGACTTGAGACTGAGATTGAATGAGGGATGAAGAGAGCAAGCTTGGGATTTAGAGTCCACTGGGTTGCCTGAGACAGATTGGATGAGGAACTAGGACTGTGGAATTGGGACGAGGAAGTGGGAGAGAAATTAGAGCTGGATGAGCAAGGACATTGGGACTGGAAGACGAGAGATTGGGAACTGGAGTATTTGAGACTTTGACAGTGACATAGGAGATGACTAGGGATACCTGGGCAAGGAGAATGAAACTAAATGAGAAGTCTAAGAAGCTGTAGACTGAGGCTGGGAAGGGCAGTAGAGAGGAAGAATGTATCTGGGACAAACAGTTACAGGATGGAGAAGAGATAGATTTGAGGGAGCTAAAATTGTGGAAAATCAAGAGAAGAGCTCACCCCCTAGCACTCCCTTTCAAAACCTGGAATGGAAACCAAGATTACCAAGTTTCACATTTTTTCCTGTCTGAAAATGTTATGAACCCCACTGGCAAAGTGTCTCATTCCCGTTGAGTACTGGTGCCACAGAGGGTGATGCCCACTACTGCTCTCTTTTTTTGGTTAGTTCACTTGACACAAATCTGTACAATGGGTCTAGGATTCATTCTCAAGCTGTTAGTAACCTATGGGGGTGTCATTATGTTATTCCAATCTCATAACAGTTCTGTAACAGTTGACATCACAAAGACTACGCTAGTCTATCCTTTTGTATAAGTACTAGTTTCATGATATTGGAATGGATTCAAAACAGAGAAACAATCTCTGTTTCTTCAGTTTTATTTTTTTTAAAAGCACTAGGAAGTTAAAACATGATAATGATGTTAATTTCATTAAGAAATTATTTTAGGGTTATGGAGTGAAACACTGAGAAGTGCTTGCCAGAGCTAGAAAGAAGAAATGCCAGAACTAAGGTTGCCTTTTTTGTATATCTGATGCAGTTTTAATTATGTGCTCAGTACTGTTTCCTCCCCAAGACCCATGTCTTATTCAGTGTACAAGATAAATCTACTCTCAGGATGGATCAGAGCTAAATAGCAAAACAGTTCATTGGCCCTAGGACCTGTGCTTCACTTACTGCAGAAGTTGAGAGGTCTACAGTGAATGAGATAAGACATTGCAGAAGGAGAAAGGAAGATCTTGTGGTACAGACATTTGATGTTGCCGTAGAAATTGGAGTCCATCCCTACTTCTTGCAGAGTCCTAGGTGATGCTGGGCAAGTTCCTCGAACCAGGTGACCGCTACCTGCATCTTCCATGTTTTCTGAGGGCCCCACTTGAGGTTGCCGTTGAAAGAAATGATGAGCATTCCCAGATGTCCAGTGGGAACTGTTCTTTGAATTTATGTAGCTGTGTGCAGTGTAGAGCACTTCCACTGTCCAGTAACCATTGTGACAATGGTCTCAATTGTCTCAAAGCTTGGCACCCAAGCTTAAAATGCAAAAAAAGTATCCTTTTATGACCCTAACTCCTCAACTCCCCCTCTATAAGTGGGGATAATACCCCTGCCCTTCACAAGGGGTTTGGAAAGATAAACTAAATTCATATAGCGATGAGCATGACAGAAATGGCTGCAAGGAAGTTAATAATTCTGTCTTTTAGAGCAGTTGTTTGATTAATATGCAGTAAATTAGGCTTTGGGGCCCCACAGTGAACAATGAGGATAAAACAAAGTATTGAATAGCTGCTCATTAATTGAGCACTGTTCATCCTGTGCACTGAATGAGGCAGAAGCCCTGGAGAAAAAAAATAGTGTGTGGCCATGTAATTAAAGACTGTATCACAATCCATAAGCCCAAGGGATTAAATAAAGGCTGTTCATATGGTCACCTTATTTCTGATGCTTCTAACTTTGGCTTCACAACTTTAATAATGTTCTCTTAGTACAATGTTCTCTTAGTACATAAATATGGGCTCAATACTATAGTAATTACTAAGGGTAATTATTAAAATAACTAAATGCACTATAAATGTAATATAATTAGCTATTTTTCTGTACTTCATAATTAAAAATTATCACAGAGATGTGCAGTCCAAACCATGTGGTAATTTGGTGTTTGAAGTTAATGGAGCTTTTTCATCTGTTGCCTGCTCATGTGTTACCCCCTGCTATGCTGCTGAGCAGAACCAACTGACAACAAATATCAAACTTTGAGAGACACCATTTTCCGTGTGTGGAACTGTAGAAAGAATGTTAATGCATTTTTATGACTGTGTCCTCATTTCTCATTCTTTTCTTTTATTTTCTTTTTTTTAACACAGTCTCACTGAGAAACTGAGCACATTTATTTCAAAGAGTGTCTGAATTGTTTGTCTGCCCCAGGCTTGATCAGGTTAGGTCCTAATTGCCTTTACTTCTCATTGGTTTAAATGGCAGCTGTGGGCACTTCACACCAAGCAGGAGATACTCAGCATAAAGATGGATGATTAGACTGCAAATCCCAGGGGAAGGGATCTAGTCTCCTTGACAAACTCTACAGCACTGAGCCTATTTTGGGAGCTCAGAAATCAAAGGGATGTGCCTAAAAGCTCACTCCTGCTCCCATCTTAATTAACGACCTTCCCTCCTTTTCATCCTCTCCTTAAATCAGCTTTACATGTATGTGCTAGTTCCCATCTCTCTTGTTAGGGAAATGGTAGATCCTCTGCCTGTGGTAGCTAAGTATGTCTATCTCCTACAAGCACATCTTTCCTGCATTTGTTACATGGGGTCCCTGTGCCTGTGGGGGGAGATAAGGGGCATTTTTGCCTCAAGCAGAAATGTGAAAATAAAAATGTAAAAATGAGGTTTTTGGATAGGTTACAGGAGAGTCGGTTGCATAAAGTGTTAACAACCCTGAGCAATAGGACCCATCCCAATGGAGGAACAGAGATTTCACTTTCCATTCACTCCTCTGCCTCGCTCTTCTGGTTGCCTGAAAGAGTGTTGGTGGATTTGTCATTTCAAAACTTATCTGTTAGGAACTGAATTGAACTCCCACCTCTCCCACATCTCTCAGCAACTCATTTTATGCATGGACTGCCATACAGTAAGCAGATACTACATCATTACTTTATATCATTGCTGATTTGGAAATGTAAGTGTCAGGGTCTCTGCAGCTAGTTTCTGATCCCCTCAGATACTAGGTGTTCTACATCTTCTTGTTTCTGCCATCCAGGTACAATGGTGGGAGATCACACCCGCTTGGAGTTCCACAACATTGAGACAGGAATCATGACAGAGAAGCGGTACATCTCAGTCATCCCCTCCAGCTTCATTGGCCACCTCCAGAGCCTTATGTTTAATGGGATGCTCTACATTGATCTGTGCAAGAACGGTGACATTGACTACTGCGAGCTAAAAGCACGTTTTGGCCTCCGTAACATCATTGCCGATCCAGTCACCTTCAAGACCAAAAGCAGCTACTTGAGCCTAGCCACCTTGCAGGCCTACACTTCCATGCACCTCTTCTTTCAGTTCAAGACCACTTCGGCTGACGGTTTCATCCTTTTCAATAGTGGTGATGGCAATGACTTCATTGCAGTTGAACTGGTCAAGGGGTGAGTGAGTTCTGTGCCACCTTCCAGGAGGGACTAGTATGGAGAAACTGTTTGAGAATCTAGACTTGAAATGATAGCATTTATCACTATCCTAAGGAAAGGAAGAAATTTTGAGCAGTACTACAATGATGGACTTCATAAAAACAGACTTCAGCAAACTCAGGGAACTGCTAGACAGGGTCATTTGGGAAGATTATTTAAGGGGTAAATGTGTGTGACAGAGCTGACAGTTCCTTTCCTGATGGAAGGGAAAGGTATAAGGAACATGGAATGTATCATGAGCCATTCAATGATGTGAAAGTCAAACAGGAATTTTACAAATATTGAAACAAGGGCACATGCTTAAAGATAATCATGAGGGGGTGGTACAAAAGCTGAGGTGCAAAAGGAGTTTCAATTGGCCAAATACATAAAAAAAGTAATAAGAAAAGCTTCTATAATTATATTAGAAGTAAGATGTAACCAAAGGGATACTTAAGCCTAGTGCTAAATGATGCTGGGAAAGCTGAAGTATTCAAGCCTGCATTTCCATCAGCTTTCAAAAAAAAAAAAAGTAACTTGTGATCATTTATTCCACAAAATGAATTTTTAACAAAGGAGCTATGAGTGCAGGACAGAGTGTGAAAGAACAAGTTAAGAATATTAAGACAGATGAGTTTAGGTGCAAGGTCCTGATGAAATTCACCCTGAAGTGTTTAAAGAGCTTGTCAAAGTAATCTCCTTCTCATTAGCACTCATGTTTGAGAACACATGAAAGACAAGGGTGGTCTCACAGGTCTTGAGAAAGGTAAACATGGTAACTATCTTTAAGCAAGGAAAACAAGGGAGACCAGTAATTATAGACTAATCAATCTAACTCTGAAAGATTTGGGAATAAATTGATAAACAATCAAGTAATGAAGTGAGAGAGAGCCAACACAGGTTTTGTCAAGAACTGAACATGTCAAGCCAATCTAATTTTCTTTTTGACAGGATAATGGCCTAGTGGATAAAGGGGAAGCAGTAGTTTGATATATCTTGAATTTCTTAATGTTGAAGCAACTGACCTTCTCATAAGCAGGCTAAGGATGTATGGTCTAGGTGTAATGACCAACAGATGAGGGGTTACAGAACTGATCTGAAAAATCTCTCAGAGAATTCTGAGATCTGTAGAAGGGTACTTCGTACCTGAAGGCTTGTCTGTATCCCTCCCAATTGTACAGCTGGTCTAACAAAAGGTAGTACCCGCAAAAAGCCTTGCCTCCCACAAGGCATGTCTTCATGTGCACCTGACTGTGCAGTTGTTACTGTGCAGTCCCGGCAGCACATAGGTAACTTCTGACCCTATTATGCAGTAGCAATCAGCTACTCCATGGTAGCGTCAGTGTCATGGTTCGTGCCCACTGAGGCTACATCACTGTACTGACAAGCTACGTCACCGTAGCTCATAGCTACAGCAATGTAGCATCTTGTGTAGACATACCCACAGAGCAGCAATCAGATTTCCAGTGCCAAATTTGGAGGGCATCTTAAATGGGATGCTAGAGGGATTGGTCCCAGACCCCATTCCATTTAATATTTTCATTAACAACCTGGGTGAGGAAGAGAGTAGAGTATCAGATTTGCAAAGAGGACAGGATTAGAGGTCAAATTGGTTTGACAAATTAAAGAGATGGTCTGAAATCCTACATGAGTGCTGAGGTTCTCCAATGTGCTGAAATTTTGGTGCTCTGGGACAGGCTCAATTTAATCAAGTCTGCTGGAGCATGGCAATTGCTGCACCCCAGCAGCCTCCTGCATCTCATGTATCAGCGTCTTCATGCTTAAAAATGGTGGTGGGGGCACTTGAACTAAAGCTCGTTGAATGGACGAGCTCTAATTAAAGGTTTCAGATCTGCTTTAATTAAAGCACTGTAAAAGTGCTCAAAAAGATTAAATTCAATAAAGAAAAGTGCCATTTAACAAAGTGAACTAAAATGTGTAAGTGCACATGGAGAATTTCTGGCAAGGCAACAGTACAGCAGGAAAGAATATGCAAACTAAAAAGGAAATAACAAAGTGACACTTGCCAAAAAAAGACTGGATGTCATTGAGTTACGTTAACAGGAGTGTCATATGTAAAACATGAGATGATTGTTCTTCTCTACATAGGTGACAGTGATGAGGCCTCAGTTTAGACACTATGTCCAAGTTTTTGGTTACTACTTTTTAAGAAAGATATATAGGCCAGTTCAGAGAGTCCAAAAGTGAGCAGCAACAATTATAAGAAGCTTAGAAAACATAACCTGTGTGGAGAGATGGAAAGAATTGAGCTTTAGTCTACTGAAGACTGAGGGGTGAAAAGATTGTTATAAGGGGACAGTGATCAATTCTTGCCCATTGAGAGAAGAAGAATTTGTATTCAGTTACAACGAGGGAGACTTAAGTTGTATATTAGAGACAGAACTTCTAATTTTACATGGCTCAAACCATAACTAAAGGAGATTACTTGGAGAGGTTGTCAAATCTCTTTCTTGGGAGGTTTCTAATAAAAAGTGAAACAAAGATCTGTTGGGGGTCATCTAGTTGTAGTTGATCCTGTGAGATGTTGAATGAAAAGATGTCTGGAGGGTGTTTCCAGTCCTATATTTCTATGATTTTAAAACAATCATAGTGTGAAATATTCATAACAGAATGTTAAAACTTCCAGATCTGGAGTCTGTTCTTCCATGTGCATCAGCATCAGATTATTCTTTACATTCTAATAAATTACGCCTGTGCACATCCATTGAGGACAATGGAGTTGAGCAGGTGCCAACAGAGTTATAATGTGACTGGCAAAATCTGTGGCCCCTGGGAAATTGTTACAATTATGGCATGATGAAGGTGTTCATTCTTTCATAAATTGTAATGTGTCATTTGTTAAACCAATTTATGGTGAAATAACATGGCAAACCAGCCAAAAAAAAAAAGGGTTCCACACTGTGTGGAACATCTTTGTCGTTGGTTTGTATGGTACCTTAAATTGAGCCATGTGGCTTGTGTGCCAGACCTGGCCCAATGTAGAAATTCATCTGAATGTCAGCACTGGGACTAGGACATCCCTGGGTCTTGAACTGGGCTTGGGACTGGCCTGGGAAATGCTGATGATCAGCTGAATGTTGGCATGTTGGACAGCCTCAGGGTCTGGTAAACAACCACTCCTGGCCTGGTTCTTGGGATTGGGCTGGGGCAGCCTGGTTTAGCTCTGGTAGTCACACAATTTGTGATGTGGGGAATTTTGTACACTGTTAGAGAAATCACACATCCCCACCATGCATGTCTGGCATGGCAGGCTATACAATTTTTGGGTTGGGGCATAAAATTCTTCAGATCTACTCATCTCATTATATTAACATTGCCTGTATTTCTGGTGCTTATGCATTGGAAGGAAGGATCCAGTTTATCTCCCAGCTTCCAGGGAATGTGTTAAGGCTGTCAGGCAGAAGAGAGAAATCTTGTAAAATGAACAGATTTGATCTGGAGTCATCTAGAAACGATACATGCATTGAGTTCATCAGATGCATTTTAGTAGTTATATTTCTCTGTAGAACTGCACTTTAATCTGTTTCATTTTAAACTCCATGTGTGTTTGTGTAATTGGAATATTCTGAATGAATGAAGAGACAGCCACAAGCCCCTGCTGTTCTGGTAGGGACTCAAAGTGTTTACCACTTCCCTTTAAAAAGAAAAAAAAGAGAATTTCATTTTCAGACTAAGCTCATATTAATCTTGTCTGAATGTTTCTTGGTGACAGTCAGATCCATACACAGTTTGCTTTGTTTGGGCCTTTATTACATAGAAACGTAGTATTTAATCCAACTTTGCCAAAAGGCTTGTTATAATTTCAAGCTCTTTTTGAGACCATGGACAGGCATGCAAGCTTGACTGGGAATCACAGATATGTTAAGGAGGAAATTTCCATTAAGCTATTTTGGAGGATTCTTTGCAGTATAGATTTGGAATGTGTGTACCCAAATGTATATATTTAGCCCCCTGCTCTAGTTGTCTTCATCACATGGAATCAGTTATTTTTATGTTTACAAAAATAGTATTTTGTAGATCTGCCTGAATTTCTTAACTACAAGCTGGAACCCTTCAGAGCTAGATGGCTGAACTAAGAGTGAGCTGATGCACAGAAGTCAGCACCTATTAGTGCAAACTCAGTGCTGCACAGAGGTGGCTACACTACTCATGCAGGAGTGAGCAGGCATTGAACATGCTTTCAAACCATAATCAGTAAAGCAGCACATGCACCAGTAATAGCATTGTACCAGTGCGGCATTTTCCAGTTGCAGTTGTCATAATTTCAGTACCTTAGAGATAGCCATAAAATATAAAATTTATCCTGAGGGTCAGATATTCTTCATTGGAAGCAGACTCGGTTAAGAGAATCAATTGGAAATTAATTGCTCTAAAAATATTTGCTCATTAGAAAATTGTTTCTGGGCTTTGTCCGCAAACAGTGCTTTGAGTGAGGAATGCGATGTGTGTTCCAAGCAGGGGAATGGAATCTTTGCTGTCTCCCCCATCAGATCCCAGCAGCATGTCTACCTTATCTCATAATGCTTGGATGGAATTTTATTTTGCATGAGTCCCTCAGGTATATCTGAAATAAGACCCACAACAGCTCTGGAGTCCATTCTGAAATGAAACTTGTGTTGTTTTCAGGTATATACATTATGTGTTTGACCTTGGCAATGGCCCTAATGTCATCAAGGGCAACAGTGATCGTCCCCTGAATGACAACCAGTGGCACAATGTTGTCATCACCCGAGACAACAGTAATACCCACAGCCTAAAGGTGGACACCAAGATGGTCACTCAGGTTATCAATGGTGCCAAAAATCTTGATCTTAAAGGTAAGTGCCACCAAGATGCCAATATGTATTTAGTCGTGTAGGTTAGGAGAGCAATAATCACGAAGAATGTCCACGCACTACACAAAGAAGAGTAGAAAGCTGAGGGTGACGACTTTTTTTTTTTTGCTTTGAATTTAATTTTCCGCTTTTGCTGTTGGGTGAATTTCTGAAGCAATATCGTTAGTCTGTATTGCTTTTCAGATATTATATTTATCAGGACTATTCATACCATACAGTCACTCTCCAGTTTACCATCTTTTTGTTAAGAAAGAATAAGAAGTATCTGACCACCAGGAAGAGTCGGGCATAACATTGGCAGAGCTACTGGTATGCATTGTGGAGTGAAAAAAGATGAAATAATGCAGGATAATGATTAAAGAGTTGGTTCATAAAGCCCTGTCATTTAGACTGTAGGGGAGCTCATAGGGTAATGCATGCCACTGTGGATGCACAATAGTGAAACAAAGTGGGGAGTACATTTCTGAGATGAGTGATAGTGTGGGATCATGGAACCTGATCAAGATCCAGGAAAATTGGTAGAATTGAGTAAGAGGAACAAGTCTTTCATAAGTGGTTGAGGTTGAAATGCATTTACAGAGGTGAGTGAGGGCCCAAGGCAGGAATAGTCAAAAGTGCTGTGGCTCAGGGCTCAGGTGTTGGGTGCAGTGGCAAAATTGGGTGAGAACTTGGGAAAAGTAGAGAGCATACCTAATGAGATTAGTTGGCAGAGGTGGCCTCCAGGCTTCTTTCATGCCACTCTTGGCTTACTCTTTCTTCAGAAGCAGTGCAGTTCATTAAATGTGTTAGAAGTGCAACTCTGAAAGGCATTTGGGTGACTTACTTTTCTTTGCATATTTACTTCCAGGTGATCTCTACATTGCAGGCCTGGCTCAAGGCATGTATAGCAACCTCCCGAAGCTAGTGGCCTCACGTGATGGGTTTCAGGGCTGCCTAGCTTCAGTGGACTTGAATGGGCGTTTGCCAGATCTGATCAATGATGCCCTCCATCGCAGTGGGCAAATTGAGCGTGGATGTGAAGGTACAACCTACTTTAGAGGCATTTCTCACTCAGGAAGCACCCCCTATATCCTCGCTGCCTCCTGCACCACTGCTCATCTGCCTGACAGACCATCATCTTGGTTTGCTTTCATTGTGACGTCCTTCATTGCCAACATCTTGTCACTCCTGGGTGGGGGTAATTTGTTCTTGTAAATGGCTCTTTAGCTATCCCCCCAGTGATACTGCATCTCCATCAGTGTAAAAGTTGTTGAGTTTGGTTTGTATTGGGTTTCTCTTTACTTGTGTTTTTTTTTTCCTGAAGAGCAACTTACTGATAATAAGAATATTATATTTTAAGTACCTTAGAGTGTTTAGCTTAAGTTTGGTCTGGAGTCAGAGATCCTCAACTATTGTCTTCAGACCACTAATGGTCCATATAGCTCCTTTTGGAAGCCCACAAAATTAAACTTTGTGAAGATCAAGTATGACCTGGCATGGGAGTCAAGGGAAGGAGGTGAGGACAGGGCACTGGTAGGGATTCTTCTGTTATAAACTGATCTCTCAGTGAATTACTTGGAGAACAGAAACACATTGTTTTGGTCCAGAAACAAATTGTTGAAGGTATTTTTGGGGTGCAGGGAACCTGGATAAATTGTTGGTTTCTAACAGTTTAAATGAAGAGTTTATTCTCCAGGCCAGATTTCCAGCAGTTGAGAGAGCTGGTTTAATGACCACCTTGTGGCATAGCCCTAGAACTTAAGACCTTCCATGCCCATAACACAGGCTCCTGCCACTTGAGCTAAATTGTTGTTTTCATTATATTGCCACTTGTGCTAGGAAATATTTCTCCATTGCAGGTCATCAATCACTAGCCAGGAAACTTAACAATGTGCTCTTTACACAAAGTACGTACAGCCTTACTGGGGACTGTGATCCATGTGTGATATGTTGGTTGAGTGCATTTTTGTCATCCACTAGCTGATCCGCATTGATAGGACCTTATTATGTGAACACCAGCTGGTACATATCATATCCCCCACCATGCAGCCACTAACACTTGAATTTTGGGGTCTTCCCTCTTGTTAGGCTCATCTCTTGGCTGTTTTAAAATTCCCAGTTGAGTGCCATCTTCAAATCCCTTAGCATCTGTGAAACCCCAGAGCAGCAGCTCCATTTAAAACCAATCCTTTCCTCATAGCGCATTGACTAGGCATTGTGTTTTTAGGGCGTGTGTGTTCCTTTGGCCCAGTCCTCAAGTTGCAGAGTAAAAGTCATTGCCTCAGTGGTTAGCAGGAGTTGTGTCCTCTTATTGGAGAAGAAGGTGCCTTGATACAAACCTTATGCTCATAGTTTTGGTTTTGTTGCATAGCCGCAGCAGACTGTTCTTCCATCTGCTGCCCTTTGTCCATCTTGACCTTTACATGCTTCCTCCAACCTGATGATTCTGTTAGGAAGTGGCCTCATAGAGCTTCAAGTTTTTTCTGCTTGGCCTGGCCAGCAATATGGGATAGGTCAGGGTGTCCAAAGCAGGCATGCTGACTCTCCCATGCAGAGTGTTTTTTTTTCACAGGGCTTTTTCATGTGGTTTTTTTTCATTCTGGAAATGCTCTTTGTGATAATTTCCAAGCATTTTTCCCATGGCACCAAAAACATTTCTCCAAGGTTGATTGTTTTTGTTAATTCTGTTATAAAATATATTGGTTTGCAACTGTCTATCTGTGATATTGTACCCTCCCTCCTTCATTTGTCCCCTCCTCTTTTGGAGACCTATCCATTAGTGTGACCTGCTAGCCTGTCTGAGGAAGGCTGACTAGGGCTCAGCAGACAAAAGTCACTTAAGTGGCATAAACAGTTTCCCCTTCCTCAGGACCTGAGTCACTATTCTGGCAGAGCTGGGACCCATGGTAGAGTTATCATCTTCCTGCTCGTCACTGCTCCGTTACCCAGATTGCACAGAAACAATGGCTGCTTTAGATGTAGCTATACCTCCTCCTTCCTCCTTTTGTGCTAGAACATTTCACCTCTAGTTTCCACAATGTGAATCTTGGCCTTTGTTGTGCTGTTGTGCCATCCTTGTTCAGCATTGCTGCTACCTGAACTCAGAGACTGGTTCACCCTCAGGGACACTAGCAGCAGGAGTCCCCTCTTCACGAAGAAAAACTCAAAAAGATGGGAACTAGAAACTGTGAAGAAGTTTGTGCCTTCTGACACTTTGCAGGGCCTTGGTCTTGTGAGGTAACATTTACCCCATCCAGGTGCATGAACCCTGCTCAGGGACTTGGGGAAAGGTGCTGAAGATTCAGCAGAAACAATTAGGTACTGACTCAACACAGTGCTGCTTCTCTTCCCTTTGGACTGAGTTCCAGCAACCCCTGTGGCAGGAATACGCAGCAGCCAAGATTTAAGACTGCATGCTGCCTACTTGTGGGGTCTCCCTTCTGTAGCAGTTGAATCCCACCTGCTGTTCTTGTGGGTGCCAAAGCTTTCGCAATGCACGTTTGATGCTTATTTAACTGTCTGTTTATATAGTGGCTGGAGGTGTACTTTCAGCCCCATCCCAAGAAGCTGAAGTCTCAAAAAGTGGCCAGTCTCTGTGCCATGCTATCTGGGCATATATATATACACACAGATATTTGGAATAAACAACCTGGTTTTGAGAGAATCTCATTTTGTGCTGTGTTTTGATTTTTGGGGAGCATGGGAAGGAGGGTCTGAATGATAAAGAACAATTCCACTGCAGAAGGAACTGTTCAGACACAGGAAATGGCCTTAGCAAAAAGTTGACCCTCTGTGTGGGATTCTCTACAATAGTTGGCATTGGCCTAGCTGAAGTCATGAGACCTTGCCCATTACCTTCAATAGGAGAAGAATTATGATGATGGTCAGGAACATAGAACTATCCCTTTGAACCCAAGTGTGCTCCAACTTTTATCTGCTGAACCCAGAGTGAGAGGGATTTCTACCCATGTGCATCTTCCATAGCTTAAATGTGTCCACCTCTGAATGTATAGGGCCTGCATCTTCCCTAGAGCAGTTAGTCTGCGCTCTTTATCAGCACTTCCTACAATCCCAGGCAGAGTAGTACATATAAGTTATGAGAAAGGAGGCATCTATAGTATTCCCACAGAGAGAGAGCACCATTTAAAATTGATTTCATAGCTGTTGTATTTATTTTTCAGGGGCCTATCCCATATTGTCAGTCAGTAGGGCTTTAATTGCCAGGGAGAAAGTATGGGGAATCTTATTTTCCTGCCTCTGCTATTGACCCGTCTATGGTGTAGCCTTCAGCAGGTCAATGAATATCTTTGAAAGTTTCTTCTGTACTTTCCATGCTAAAAAATTGTTAAAAATTGTGGTGCAGTGATACATGGCTACCATGTTCTTCCCCAGAGGTGTCTGTAGTTCAGTGGAAGAAAGATATGTATTTTCAGGATATCCCTTATGTGCTTCACCATGGATATTATAAAGTGCTTTAGGCTACTTCAAGATAAATGGTATTATAGAAGACTAAGAGAATTATCTATCTTTCCTCCGAGGAGGCGCATTTTATACAGGAATCACCAGCTGAAATGCAGCCACCTCTAAGATTGGAAATGGCAGGTGTTTTTTTGTGCATAGCAATGCTATGCGATTAGTTTAGGACCTGGAGGCAAGAGGAATTCTACATCTAATTAAAAACACAGGAAGGATTGTGGTACAAAGAAAGTTATTACTCAGGCTAGAATTTAGCCAAACTAGCAGAACTAATGTAAGCCACTTTTTGTGCCCGTTTCACAGAGGATATGGTCTGATTGCAATCCCAGCATTAGGTCAAGCTGTACAAGACTTAACGCTTTCAGCTCCTGGAGGTCCATACTTCACACCCCAGTGTCTTAGCCAAAATGGCATATCTGACGTTAACAACCAAGCTGTTTTGAACTGCACGAAGGGAGCATCACATGTGACAGAAATGGTAGGGTCAGAAGGGACCTGAGCAGATCATCAAGTCCGACCCCCTGCCATGTTCATCTAGGAAAAAGTACTGGGGTCAAACGACCCCAGCAAGGTGTTCGTCTAGCCTCCTTTTAAAGACCCCCAGGGTAGGAACCAGCACCACTTCTCTTGGAAGTTGGTTCCAGAAACAAAACAAAATAACTTAGATCAACTCATTCTTAGTTCTAGACACAGCTTGACTCTTCATGGTCTGTTGAGCTTACACAGACTCAACAGCTCTGGGTTGGCCATAGGTTGATTCCATTGAAATGAGCACCTGAATTTGTTGCATCATATGTAAGACTCATGTGGCATAGTGTTTTAGACGGCACTCTGACACAACTAAAGCTGATGGCTGAGAAAGCATGTCTGAGCATGAACTTTGCCCTTACAAAAATGAGTAACGGGCCTTTTTGCTGTGCCATTATTTTAATTGTTTTTGTCATGCATTTTCTTGCTTCTCCATCTCTCAGTCCCAGCATTTTTACTTTGCTTAACATGCATCAAAAGCATCCAGAATTTCCCTTATCTCTCAGATATCCATTTCATACTCTCTTGCAATCACCCCACTGAACTGCGTTTAGAGGTCATTTTCCTCCTCTTGTAAGATAGCTTTTCCCTCTTTTCTTCATCTCTCCTGCTGGACTCCACTGATGACAACTAACTAATCAAGGCAAAACATGTTCACAAGGAAAAGCAATTATTATTTGGCTGGAGGCTACCTTTGTTTCCCATCCTACTGTTCCAGATGTTTTGATCCTTGGATGGGACATGGGATTATCTCCTCTCTCAGCCCACCTTAATCTTTTTACAGATCTTGCAGTGAAATCATAACCTTATGCTTCTTCGCAGCATGCTACCCTTTAGAATTCATTGATGGATGAGGTGCTTAGGTCAAATACTGAGGCTGTTAAGAAGTGTGGAAAAGGTAATGAAATCCCTGCTTCTAAGGCCATCACTGGGTAGTATCAAAAAGATGTAATTTCTCAGTTTCTCAAAAAAGAGAACTTGAAAGATGATGGTGGATGTTATCCTTCCTCTAAGGTGACGGAGACTGACTAGGATGTG